AGAATAAACATCTTAGAGAAGAAAATAAATGACCTGATGGAGCTAAAAAACACAACATGAGAATTTTGTGAAGCATACACAAGTTTCAATAGCCAAATTGACAAAGCAGAAGAAAGGATATCAGAGATTGAAGATCAACTCAATGAACTAAAATGAGAAGGCAAGATTAGAGAAAAAAGAGTGAAATGAAACGAAAAAAGAACTCCAAGAAATATGGGATTATGTGAAAAGACCTAATCTATGTTTGATAGGTGTATCTGAATGTGGCAGAGAGAATGATTCCAAGCTGCAAAACACTCTTCAGGATATTATACAGGAGAACTTCCCCAACCTAGCAAGGCAAGCCAATATGCAAGTCCAGGAAATACAGACAACACCACAAAGATATTCCTCAAGAAGAGCAACCTCAAGGCACAAAATTGTTAGATTCACCAGGGTTGAAAAGAAGGAAAAAATGCTAAGGGCAGCCAGAGAGAAAGGACGGGTTACCCATAAAGGGAAGCCCATCAGACTCACAGTGGATCTTACCGCAGAAACCCTACAAGCCAGAAGAGAGTGGGGGACAGTATTCAACATCCTTAAGAAAAGAACATTCAACCCAGAATTTTATATCTAGCCAAACTAAGCCTCATAAGCAAAGGAGAGATAAAATCCTTTACAAACAAGCAATTGCTCAGAGATTTCATCACCGCCAGGCCTGCTTTATAAGAGCACCTGAAAGAAGCCCTAAACATAGAAAGGAACAACCAGGAACAGCCACTCCAAAAACATACCAAACAGTAAACAGCATTGACACAATGAAGAAACTGCATCAACTAATGGGCTAAACAACCAGGTAGCATCAAAATGGTAGGATCAAATTAACACATAACCAATATTAACCTTAAATGTAAATGGGCTAACTGCCCCAATCAAAGGACACACACTGGCAAATTGGATAAAAAGTCAAAACCCATCAGTGTGCTATATCCAGGAAACCCATCTCACATGCAAGGACACACATAGGATCAAAATAAAGGGATGGAAGAAGAGATACCAAGCAAATGGAGAGAAAAAAAAAAAAAAAAAGCAGGAGTTGCAATTCTAGTCTCTGATAAAATAGACTTTGAGCCAACAAAGATCAAAAGAGACAAAGAAGGGCATTACATAATGGTAAAAGGATCAATGTAACAAGAAGAGCTAACAATCCTAAATATATGTGCACCCAATACAGGAGCACCCAGATACATAAAGCAAGTTCTTAATGACCTACAAAGAGACTTAGCCTCCCACACAATAATAGTGGGAGACTTTAACACTCGACTGTCAATATTAGACAGATCAATTAGACAAAAAATTAACAAGGATATCCAGGACTTGAATGCAGATCTGGACCAAGTGAACCTAACTGACATCTACAGAACTCTCTACCCCAAATCAACAGAATATACATTCTTCTCAGCACCACATTGCACCTACTCTAAAATTGACCACATTATTGGAAGTAAATCACCTCTTAGCAAATACAAAAGAATGGAAATCATAACAACCAGTCTCTCAGACCACAGTGCAATCAAATTAGAATTCAGGATTAAGAAACTAACTCAGGACCACACAACTTCATGGAAACTGAACAACTGGCTCTTGAATGTTGACTGGATAAACAATGAAATGAAGACAGAAATAAAGATGTTCTTCAAAACCAACAAGAATGAAGACACAGCATACCAGAATCTCTGGGACACATTTAAAGCAGTGTCTAGAGAAAAATTTATAGCACTAAATGCCCATATGAGAAGCAAGGAAAATCTAAAATTGACAAGCTATCATCAAAACCAAAAGAGCTAGAGGAGCAAGATTTAAAAAACTGAAAAGCTAGCAGAAGACAAAAAATAACTAAGATCAGAGCAGAACTGAAGGAGATAGAGACACAAAAAACCCTTTGAAAAATCAATAAATCCAGGTACTCAGTTTTTGAAAAAATCAACAAAATAGAAAGACTACTAGCCAGATTAATAAAAAAGAAAAGAGAGAAGAATCAAATAGATGCAATAAAAAAGGATAAAGGGGATGTCACTACTGATTCCACAGAAATACAAACTATCATCAGAGATTACTACAAACAACTCTATGCACATAAACCAGTAAAAGTGGAAGAAATTGATAAATTCCTGGATCCTTGCACACTCCGAAGCCTAAACCAGAAAGAAGTCAAAACCCTGAATAGACCAATAACAAGGGCTGAAGTTGAGGCGGCGATTAATAGCCTACCAACCAAAAAAAGCTGCGGTCCAGATGGGTTCAACAGTCATTTATGGTAAAAACCCTCAATAAATTAGGTATCAATGGAACATATCTCAAAATTATAAAAGCTATTTATGACCAACACACAGCGAATATCACACTGAATGGGCAAAAACTGGAAGCATTCCCTTTGAAATCTGGCATTAGACAAGGATGCCCTCTCTCATCACTCCTATTCAATATAGTATTGGAATTTCTAGCCTGAGCAACCAGGCAAGGAAAAGGAATAAAGGGTGTTCAACTAGGAAAGGAGGAAGTCAAATTGTCTCTATTTGCAGATGACATGATTGCATATTTAGAAGACCCAATTGTCTCAGCCCAAAATCTCCTGAAATTGATAAGCAACTTCAGCAAAGTCTCAGGATACAAAATCGATGTGCAGAAATCACAAGCATTCCTATACGCCAATAACAGACTTAAAGAGAGCCAAATCAAGAATGAACTGCCATTCATAATAGCTACGAAGAGAATAAAATACCTAGGAATACAACTAACAAAGGATGTAAAGGACCTCTTCAAGGAGAACTACAACCACTGCTCAAGGAGATAAGAGAGGACACAAACAGATGGAAAAGCATTCCATGCTCATGGTTAGGATGAATCAATATTGTGAAAATGGCCATATTGCCCAAAGTAATTTATAGATTCAATGCTATCCCCATCAAGCTACCTATGACCCTCTTCACAAACTGGAAAAAACCACCTTAAACTTCATATGGAACCAAAAAAGAGCCTGCATAGCCAAGTCAATTCTAAACAAAAAGAACAAAGCTGGAGGCATCACACTCCCTAACTTCAAACTATACTACAAGGCTACAGTAATTAAAACAGCATGGTACTGGTACCAAAACAGAGATATAGACCAATGGAACAGAACACAGGCCTCGGAGGCAACGTCACACATCAACAACCATCTGATCTTTGACAAACCTGACAAAAACAAGCAATGGGGAAAGGATTCCCTGTTTAATAAATGGTGTTGGGAAAACTGGCTAACCATGTGCAGAAAGCAGAAACTGGACCCCTTCCTGACACCTTACACTAAAATCAACTCCAGATAGACTAAGAATTAAACATAGGACCTAACACCATAAAAACCCTAGAAGAAAACCTACGCAAAACCATTTGAGACATAGGCATACGTAAGGACTTCATGACTAAAACACCAAAAGCATTGGCAACAAAAGCCAAAATAGACACGTGGACCTATTTAAACTCCAGAGCTTCTGTACAGCATAAGAAACTCAATCATTAGAGTGAACCAGCAACCAACAGAATGGGAAAAAATTTTTGCAATATACCCATCTGACAAAGGACTAATATCCAGAATCTACAAAGAACTAAAACAGACTTACAAGAAAAAAACAAAAAAACCCATTCAAAAGTGGGCAAAGGATATGAACAGACACTTTTCAAAAGAAGACATTTATGAGATTTTCATAATGTCAAAGACATTATGACATTTTCATATGTTCAACAAACATATGAAAAAATGCTCATCATCACTGGTCATTAAAGAAATGCAAATCAAAACCACATTGAGATACCATCTCATGCCAGTTAGAATGGTGATCATTAAAAAATCTGGAGACAACAGATGCTGGAGAGGATAGGGAGAAATAGGAACACTCTTACACTGTTGGTGGGAGTGTAAATTAGTTCAACCATTGTGGAAGACAGTGTGGCAATTCCTCAAGGACCTAGAAATAGAAACTCCATTTGACCCAGCAATCTCATTACTATAATCCTATATTTACAATCCTATATTCAAAGGATTATAAATCTTTCTATTATGAAGACACATGCACATGTATGTTTGTTTCGGCACTGTTTACAATAGCAAAGACCTGGAATGAACCCAAATGCCCATCAGTGGTAGACTGGAGAAGGAAAATTTGACACATATACACCATGGAGTACTACGTAGCCATAAAAAATATGAGGTTGTGTCCTTCTTAGGGACATGGATCAATCTGAAAACCATCATTCTCAGCAAACTGACACAAGAATGGAAAATCAAACACCGCATGCTCTAACTCATAGGCAACTGTTGAACAACGAGAACACATGGACACAGGAGGGAAGCATCACACAGTGGGCTCTGTCTAGGGGAAGTAGGGGAGGGACAGTTGAGGGTGGGGAGTTGGGGAGAGATAGCATGGGGAGAAATGCCAGATATAGGTGACAGGGAGATGGAGGCAGCAAACCACATTGCCATGTATGTACCTATGCAACAATCCTGCATGTTCTGCACATGTACCCCAGAACCTAAAGTGCAATAAAATATATATATTAAAATAAATAAATAAATAAAAATACCTAAGTTGACATTTGTTTTTATGCATATATTCTTAATTGACAATTATATTTATCATGTACAACACATTGTTTTGAAATATGTCTGTGAAATGGCTAAATTGAGCTAATTAACATATGCCTTACTTCATATACTTACCATTTTCTATGGTAAGAACAATTAAAAACCTACTCTCTTAGCAATTATCAAGAATATAATACATTGTTATTCACCATAGTTACCATGTTGTACAGCAGATCTCATGAACTTATTTGAATTACAATTTAAACCCAGAACCATCTAGATCTGATCTTATCATCCTTTCCATTAAGCAATGATGCATAATCCAAAAGTGCAAAGCACATAGTGGACATTTGGTAAGTGCAGGCATAACAGCCAGTTGTCCCTGAGGCCAAAGTACCTGGATTCATTCTTGCTTTGCCATTTATTAGTTGTGTGTTCATGAGCATGATTCTTAACGTCTCTGTGCCTCAGCTTCTTCCCCTGTAAAATGGACATAAAAGCAGTACTACCTTATATGGTTGTTCTGAGTACTGTGTTAATGTATACAGACTACTAGAGTTAGTGTTAACAAATATGAACTATTATTGTTGAACAGCAATAATTTTCTGAACTTCTATTTACCAATCTGTAATCTAAGTATGTTGCTGTCCGCTTTATGAAGAAGCAAGATATAATCACAAAAAATAAAATAATTTATTTTTAGAGATTTATTAGTAAATCGTAAGAGCTTTTTCCAATGCAGATATAAAATTCTGAGTTTTCATTTACCACTCAGACAAAATAGGGGATATTTATTATTTTATCTTTTTTAGGATATATTCATGAAGATGAATTTTCAAGAAGTTTGACAAATATAAAAAGTAGAAAAATAGATCTCATAGTTTTGTCATTCAGCACAATCACAGCCAACTTCTTATTTTATTATTTATTTTTCTTGTATATATAGATATGTAAGTACAATTAAAACAGAATTACATACGTAGGTAGATTTCTTAGTTCTACTTGTTTACATAATAAAGATTTCTTTCACTTCAAAAATTATGAAATGCAGTTTATTCAGTTATGGTCCATTGTCCCTTAAAAGTATGTTTAAGATAAAGCTCAGCAAATTATTGTTTTTGAAGCCAAACAGAGCTTTTTAAATATAACAGCAGTAGAATCTTAATGAGAGTTTGTTCTTATTTTTAACACATTACATATGAAATGATATATCGCAGGAAATAGCATTTTAAGAAAATATTATTTCCTTTCTCAAACGATAATAAAACATCCACCTTTTCCCAAAATGAAATAAAAAGTAATAAAAATAGTCTTCTTAAGCTATATACATTATCTATATACTTTATCTTTTATATATTTTGGGAGTTTCTCCAAAGTGCAGATTTTCGAAAATATGATTGTGGTCTTTGAACATAATTTTTTACCATATGCATTATCCACATCTAGCTATACTTAGCACTTTTTATCTGGATTGCGTCCAAGCAATTCGCACAACTTAATCAAAACTCAGGTTTTTTAAATTAAAGATTTAATTTAAGGTGATATTCTGCAACAACCAAAAATTCTGCTCCCACAATTTATTTATTTATTTTTTTTATTTTTTTTTATTTTTTTTATGAGACAAGATCTCACTCTGTCACCCAGGCTGGAGTGAAGTGGCACAATCACTGCTCATCATGACCTCAGCCTTCTGGAATCAAGCAATCCTCCCACCTCAGCCACTCAAGCACTTCACATGTGATGTGTTAAAAAACATAAGAAGAAAATCTCATGATTGGAACTATAGGCATGCCCACACCCAGCTATTTTTTTAAATTTTGTAGTTGCAGGGTCTCACTATGTTCCCCTCCAAATCCTGAGCTCAAATAATCCTCCTGCCTCAACCTCCCACAGTGCTGGGATTACAAGCCTGAGCCACTGTGCCCGGCCAAATTCTTTATAAGATACTATTAGGTTGGTGCAACAGTAGTTGCTGTTTATGCCATTGAAAGTAAGGGCAAAAAACTGCAATTACTTTTGCACCAACTTAATATGTATGATGATATATAGTTATTGATTCAATTTTTATCTCAATTCTCTGTGTATGTGTGTTCCACTGACATTTCTTTATATTTCTAATTTAATTCTTGGTTTAGGAGTACACTTGCAGGTTTGTTAGACAGGGAAATTGCATGTCATGAAGGTTTGACGTGCAGATTATTTTGTCACCCAGATAATAAGCATACTACCCAACAGGTAGTTTTCTAATCTTCATCCTCCCCCAACCCTCTACCCTCACGTAGGTATCAGTGTCTATTGTTCTCTTTTTTGTGTCCTTGTGTACTCAATGTTTATCTCCCCACTTATAAGTGAGAACACCTGTTATTTGGTTTTCTGTTCCTGCATTAAATCACTTAAGATCACGGCCTCTAGCTGCATTCCTGTTGCTGCAAAAGACGTAATTTTATTCTTTTCTATAGCTGCATAGTATTCCATGATGTGTATATATACCACATTTTCCATATTCACTCTTCTGTTAGTGAGCATTTAGATTATTCCATGTCTTTATTTTTGTCAATAGCACTCCTATGAGCATACAACTGCATGTGTGTTTATGGTAGAACAATTTATACTCCTTTGTGTATGTGCCCAGTAATGGAATTGCTGGGTCAAATGAGAGTTCTATTTTAAGTTGAGAACTTGCCAACCTGCTTTCCACAATGGCTGAACTTATTTTCATTCCCACCAGCAGTTTATAAGTGTGTCCTTTTCTCCACAACCTCACAAGCATCTGTTATTTTTTGACTTTTGAGTAATAGCTACTCTGATGGGTGTGACTTAGTATTTCACTGTGGTTTTGATTTTCACTGCTCTAATGATTAGTGATGTGGAACATCTTCTCATATGCTTGTTGGCCATGTGTATGTTGTCCTCTGAAATGTGCCTGTTCAAGTCCTTTACCAATGTTTTAATGAGATTTTGTGTTTTGCTTGTTAATTTGTTTAGGTTTCCTATAGATTCTGGTTATTAGACCTTTGTGGGTGCATAATTTGCAAATTTTTTCTTCCATTCTGTAGGTGGTTTACTCTGTTGATCATTTCTTTTACTGTGCAAAAGCTCTTTCATTTAATTAGGTCCCATTTGTCAATTTTTGTTTTTGTTACAATTGCTGTTGGCAACTTCATCATGAAACCTTTGCCAAGACCTATGTCCAGGATACTACTTTCTAGATTATCTTCCAGGGTTTTCATACTTTTAGGTTTTACATTTAAATCTTCAATCCATCTTGAGTTGATTTTTTTGCATGTTGTAGGGAAGAGGTCCAGTTTTAATCTTCTGCATACAGCTAGCCAGTTATTCCAGCATCATTTATTGAATAGAGATTAATTTCCCCATTGCTCATTTTGGTCAACTTTGTAGAAGATTAGATGGATGATGTAGGTGTGGCTTCCTTTCTGGGCTATTCTGTCAGATCTATGTGTCTGTGTTTGTACCAGTGCCATGCTTTTTTGGTTACTGAAGCCTTGTAGTATAATTTGAAGTTGGCTAACCTGATGCCTCCAGCTTTGTTCTTTTTGCTTAGGATTACTTTAGCTATTCAGATTCTTTTTAAGCTTTGTACAAATTTTAAAATAGTTTTTTTTTTTTCCAATTCTGTGAGGAATGTCAATAGTAAATTTGATAAGACTAGTATTAAATCTGTACCTTGCTTTGAACAGTATGGTCATTTTAACCATATCGATTCTTCCTACCCATAAGCATGGAATGTTCTTCCATTTGTTTGTGTCATCTCTGATTTCTTTCAGCAGTGTTTTGTGTTCTGTAATTCTTGCAGAGATTTTTCACCTCCCTGGTTAGCTGTATTCCTAGGTATCTAATTCTTTTGTGGCTACTGTGAATAAAATTATGTTCTAGATTTTGCTCTCAGCTTAAACATTGGTAGTATATAGAAATGTGATTGTTTTTGTACATTGATTTTGTATCCTAAAATTTTGCTTCAGTTGTTTTCCAAATCTAGGAGCTTTGGGGCAGAGACTATGGAGTTTTCTACATGAAGAATTATAACACCTGCAAACAGAGATAGTTTGACTTCCTCATTTCCTACTTAGAAGCCTTTTATTTCTGTCTCTTGTCTGACTGAGCTGGCTATTCAACTTCCCATATCATATTGAATAGCAGTAGTGAGAGTGGGCATTCTTTCTCAAAAAGAATGCTTCTAGCTTTTTTCCATTCAGTATGATATTGGCTGTGTATTTGTTATAGATGTGCCTACAACACCTAGATCCTTGAGGGTTTTTAACATGAAAGGAAGTTAAGATTTACTGAAAGTCTTTTCTGCATCTATTGAGATATTCATGTGAATTAATTTTTAGTTCTGTTTCTGTGATGAATCACATTTATTTGTTTGCATTTGTTCATCAAACTTGCAACCCAGGCGTAAAGCCTACTTGACAATGATGGAATATCTTTTTGATGTGCTGCTGGATTTGATTTGCTAGCATTTTGTTTGGATGTTTGCATTGTTTTCATCAAGGATATCAGTCTGCTGTTTTCTTTCTTTGTTGTGTCTCAGCCAGGTTTTGGTATCAGAATGATGGTGTCCTCATAGAATGATGTGGGGAGCAGTCCCTGATTCTCAACATTTTTAGAATTGTTTCAGCAGAATGGTACCAGCTCTTATGTATATATCTGGAATAATTTGGCTATGGCTTCAACTGGTCCTTGGCATCAATAGATCATCAGTTAGACAAATTAAAAAAGAGAGAAAATTCAAATAAACACAGTTAGAGATGACAAAGGGGGCATTAAAACTGACCCCACAGAAATACAAAACAAAACATTTATCTCTGTATCATTCAGTTCAGCTCTAATTTTGGTTACTGTTTGTCTCCTGCTAGCTTTGGGGTTGGTTTACTAGTGTTTTTCTAGTTCCTCTAGGTCAGATGTTAGGTTGTCAATTTGAGATCTTTTTAACTTTTTTATGCTGGTGTTTTGTGATATAAGCTTTCCTCTTAATGCTGCTTTGGCTGTGTCCCAGAGATCCTGGTATGTTGTATCTTTGTCTTAATTAGTTTCAAAGAATTTATTACCTCCTTCCGTAATATTATTGTTTACCCAAAAGTCATTCAGGAGTAGTTTGTTTAATTTCCATGTAACTGAATGGTAATTGAGCCATCTTCGTAGTACTGATTTCTATTTTTATTGTACTGTGGTCTGAGAGTATGTTGCTATGATTTTAATTTTTTTTTTTTTTTTTTTTTTGCTTTTGCTGAGAACTGCTTTATGGCTGATTGTGTGGTCAATATTAAAGTATGTGCCATGTGCTGATGAGAAGAATATATATTCTGTTGTTTTTGAGTGAAGAGTTTTGTAGATGTTTGTTAGGTCCATTTAGTCAAATGTTGAGTTTAAGTCCTGAATATCTGTTTTCTGCCTCAATGAAGTGTCTAATACTGTCAGTGGGCTGTTGAAGTCTACCACTATTATTTTGTGGTTATGTCTCTTCATTGGTCTCTAAGAACTTGTTTTATGAATTTGGGTGCTCCTGTATTGGGTGCATATATTTAGGAAAGTTAAATTTTCTCATTTAATTGAACCCTATACCACTATGTAATGCCTTTGTCTTTTTTAATGATTGTTGATTTGTGTTATGTTTTGTCTGAAATAGAAGACCAACCCCTGCTTTTTTCTGCTTTCCATTTGCTTGGTAGATTTTTCCTCCATCCCATTAATTTGGGGCTATAGGTATCATTGCATGTGAGATTGATCTCTTGAAGACAGCATACAGTTGGGTTTTACATATTAATTCACCTTTCCACTACGTGTCTTACAGGTGGGTCATTTAGGCCATTTACATTCAAAGTTAGTATTGATATGAACAAGTTTGAGCCTGTCATTGTGCTGTTAGTTGATTATAACACAAACTTGATAGTGTAGTTGTTTTATAGTGTCAAAGCTCTATGTACTTAAGTACATTTTTGTAGTGACTAGTAATGGTCTTTCTCTTCCATGTTTAGCATGCCCTTAAGGATCTCTTATAAGACAGATCCAGTGGTAACAAATTTTCTTAGCATTTGCTTATCTGTAAAGGGACTTATTTCTTCTTTGCTTATTTTTTGGTTTGAAATTTATTTTCCTTAAAAATTCTGAGTATAGGCCTCCAAACTCTTGTAGACTGCAGGGTATTTGCTGAGTGGTCCATTGTTAGCCTGTAGACTGCAGGGTATTTGCTGAGGGGTCCATTGTTAGCCTGATGCGATTCCCTTTGTAGGTGATCTATCTCTTCTCACTAGCTGCCTTTAACATATTTTCTTTCATTTTGACTTTGGAGAGCCTGACAATTATTTGTCCTGGGGATGTTCATCTGGTATAGTACCATGTAGGAGTGCTCTGCATTTCCTGAATTTGAATGATGGCCTCTCTAGTGAAGACTGGGGAAATTTTTATGGTTGACATCCTCAAATATGTTTTTCTGTTGCTTGCTCTCTCTCCCTCTCTTCCAGGGACACCAATGAGTCATAGATGTTCCCTTTTCATAATCTCATATCTCTCAGAGGTTTTGATCATTATTTTTGATTCTTTTTCCTTTGTTTTTGTCAGAATGAATTAATTTGGAAAACTGGTATTTGAGATCTGGGAGTCTTTCCTCAGCTTGGTCTATTCTTGGTCTTGGT